AATAAGGTTGTGTTGAAACTTGACTGAAAAATACGTAAGTAAGGAAATTATTTTTTCCTTGCTTCGCTTTTAGAGGTTTTTCTGCAATTTAAGAAACCTCCGAAACTTATAAATCTCATAATATTTCTTTATTTGTTCTCTCGGACATCTAAACTTTATGCTTTAATCCTTTTCCCGGGACAACAGAGATTTTATTGAAGCATAAACAATACTCAGAAAACAAGACACAAGCACATTAGGCCGCCTCAGCTGCTGGATGTCAACAGATTTAGCCGGGCTTTTCACTTAACAGCAACAGCACCGAATAATACAGCAGCCCGTCCTTTCACCTGTTCCCCAGCCACTCCATCACTCAAAGCCATTCTGCTACCTGTTTGCCAGGGGACACAAAACAGCAATCCCAGCAAGAAACACATTGCTCCAATTATCTCTGGCGGCCTTTGTTGTCAACGCTTCATCTTCCTCCCACCTCCCGCATTTTTCCCTCCCAAAAAAAGAATTTAGTTGCAACTTTATGGCCATGTGTGTGAGTCTATTGTTGTTGAGGAGAAGTCTTGGAAGTCAGAGTGTTGTCGTCGTTACCTAGAGATTGTTAGGCCAAACAATTAATTAATCATTAGGCCGGGCTAATGGGTAAACGATACACTTGCTAAGTGGAAAGGAGGCTGTTATTTTTTGTCTTCCACTCTGTGTCACCCTTTTTTGGTAAACTTGATTTCTTTGATTCTAGTTCAAACAAATTAGCTATTCACATTGACTGTCCCCGAAAAATTTAAGTATAAAGGGTAAGAAAATTGGGATTTGACAAAAAAAAATTTTTTTGACAAATTTTTACATATTACTATCTTAATAAACAACATGTTAAGTTAAACAATAGGGCAGGATTAGGTTATTAAAGACCAATCGCAACGATAAAATGTAATTATGTAACCAATTTGATAACCCAAGCTTAACTAGATACTTATGTCATCAATAATCTTTTACTAAGAGTCTAACCAATTATTTTCTTTTTTTGGCCATGAAAATTTTCAATATTTTGCAATCTTAGACAATATTTGTATTTAATATTCCCATCATTATTTTGCCACCAGAAGCGAACTCATATTTCCAGCATTGAAGCCAAACGAGCTCCCTCAATTTGGTTTCAATTGCAAAATTTGCCTTCTTGCAAACAATGTACATACTTCCTGCCGTTTAAATGTTTCTTATATGTATTCACCACCCTCCTTTCACAGGGAAACGCTTTCAATTGAATTGGGAGGAGCGATAAATAAGTTGATGAAATCTTTAGGAGGACGTGCTCCCTGTGGGAGCGTAAATAAGTGTATGTAGCGGCAATTGGTTCCGGACTGAAATAAAAACAATTTCCCGACTAGTTGGCCATCTAAGTGCTCCTCATCAAGCAGATAATTGGAATATGTTGTGGGCCACAAATGTGGCAGCCGGAGGCAGATTTATAGTGACTGTCACAATTTCTTTAATTATGATTGAGGGAGTGGGCAATCTGGGCGGACCTTAGGGCGCCCCATCAGTCATCGAGCAGGGACAAGGAGAGATTCTCCTGTTCTGGAGCACAGCCATGCGGAAGCGACTTATGAATAATTTATAGCTGGTTTTTTGGGGCTTTGTGCTTTATTAAATAATCGGTTCCAAGGCGCCGCCTTCTGGTGCTCTTTAAATATATTTAACATTTTGAATTACTTTAAAATTTGAAGAGCTCTTTTGATTTTAATGTCTGTATTGTGTAGGTAAACAGCAAACCTTTTCAGACCTTCACTTATAGAAAATGCAAACCATTTCCTTTATTACATAAGTGAATCACCTTGACAGCCAGTCTATTGAACCATTTGTCACGTGACGCATAAAATTGAATTTACCCTCGAGCCTTTCCAACCTTAAACTGATATAAAATAACAGACGCAGGCAATCGGCATTAACCTTGGCGCTATTTGCACAAGTGCTGGCAGTTGGCAAAACAAAAATAAACCCAAAAGGCAAGAAAATTAAGATACGACAGCGAATTCATTTAATTGTCGCATAAAACTAGACAAACGCCGTCTGAACAGAAAAACTAATAAAATGATTGCATACTTGTGGACGTCGACTTCTGCGGATCCTTCAGACTTGGTCTGCGACAAAGGAACGAATTTCAAAGTTGTTTTTCTCCCTTCGCTTTTGTTTTTCTCACTCGGCTGTTGTTTCTTGTTTTGCATATATACATGCATTATGCATAATCCGCAAATCCAAGCCTTAACCAATACGAATTTATTCCAATACCTGCCCTGACTTTGGTATTTCAAGGTCACAATTCTTAATGGTTGCTTTAGGGCCATCAGCATTTTTTATATTCAAGCCTGGGGTGAGCAGGATTCCACTTTTTTATAAAGACCATGTACATTTGTATGTAAAAGGTCCTTTTAAACTTGACAACACACGAAAAACAAAACTATAATGACGACAAAAGCGACAGTAAAAATAAGAGGGGACAAGGGAATTGTTTGCAGTTGTTTAGCAAGAGAATCTGAATAATATTTGTGCGGGAAAGGAGATGTTTTGGGTTACATGAATGTGTGGAGGGGGGTGCGCGGTCTTAATTTTTGGTGGCTAGTGGAAATTTGACAACACAAAAAACGCTAAATGAAACTGGAAGTCGTAAACGGTTTGAATTTTTTTCTCTTCAGTTTTCGCTTTTCTTGTGGCTTGCTATATTTTCCTAGGCGGAGAAAAAGTGATAGATTATGATTTTTAATTGGGGAAAGCTAATTAATTAGAATAAAGTTTCAAATGTAATGTAATCATTATGCTGTACGGAAATGTCTATTAATTAATTAAATTTAGTTTCAAATTATAATAAACAATTTTAAGGTTACATTTGTATTATGTTTTTTTTTGGTTTATTTATTAACGTAATGTAGATGTTCTAAACTTGTTTGGCCTTGGGTACGCGAATTTCATGTTGAAAGCCCATTACTTTGTTGGGTCTTATGGGTGACATTTTAGCTTATGCAAATAAAAAGTAAAACTTACATACCACAAATAGGTACACAAATAAGTGTTAAAGAAAGACGTTTAGGTGTGGAAACAAGGCTTATTATTAATATTTGCGATGACAGCTGTGACAAAATAAACTTTTAATAAAAGTATGAATGCCATTTAAGAAATGTTTTTTATAGCAACTATAGAATATTTCTTATGTCTAATCCGAAAGACAGCCGCTGTGCTTCCCTGGAAATTAAAATTACTGGGATAAAAAAAGAAAGTTGACCTAGAACGAAAGTAATGCAGATCTATTTGGCGCTGCAATTTATATCTATTATATGCCCAGTTGCAGTCGGGTGGGTTTGTGGGTGGTCCAGGCACCACAGCCTCAGAACTGCTCCACTCTAGTGCCCCAAGGCTATTCGGGATAATCAGAGAAACGCCTCTGAATTATTGGCCCTTGTCTGGATATCGTTGTCTGAGAGTCCAAGCTGTGCCAGGCCCATTAAAGACAAGTGGTCTTCTGAACGAAATGACCTGCAAACATTATGGAGTGCTGATAAATGTGATAAAATGGTTGAAAATAAATCTTAAATAAATAGTGTCGTTTTTATAGAAAATATTTAGTAAAATGTAAACTATTTATTGAAATTTAAAAACAGAATCCAGAATCATTTAGAGAAGCAAGTACAAATGTTGTTTTTATACCCTTGCAGAGGGTATTATAATTTTGGTCAAAAGTGTGCAACGCAGTGAAGGAGACATCTCCGACCCTATAAAGTATATATATTCTTGATCAGGATCACCTCCTGAGTTGATATAGCCATGTCCGTCTGTCCGTCTGTCCGTCTGTCCGTCTGTCCGTCTGTCCGTCTGTCCGTCTGTCCGTCTGTCTGTCCGTCTGTCTGTTTCTACGCGAACTAGTCTCTCAGTTTTAAAGATATCGAATTGAAACTTTGCACACACCCTTCTTTCCTTTGCACGCAGTATATAAGTCGGAACGGCCGGGATCGGCCGACTATATCCTATAGCTGCCATATAACTGATTGATCGGAAATGCCATAACTCTGCTGTTTGTTAGGTTAGGAAGTTGGGACTTTCTATGGGTTTTATATTTGGCCAATCAATCCGACGTACCAAATTTCATAAGGATCGGCCGACTATATCTTATAGCTGCCATATAACTGATTGATCGGAAATGCCATAACTTTGGTGTTTGTAAAGTTAGGAAGTTGGGATTTTCTATGGGTTTTATATTTGGCCAATCAATCCGACGTACCAAATTTCATAAGGATCGGCCGACTATATCTTATAGCTGCCATATAACTGATTGATCGGAAATGCCATAACTTTGGTGTTTGTAAAGTTAGGAAGTTGGGATTTTCTATGGGTTTTATATTTGGCCAATCAATCAGACGTACCAAATTTCATAAGGATCGGCCGACTATATCTTATAGCTGCCATATAACTGATTGATCGGAAATGCCATAACTTTGGTGTTTGTTAAGTTAGGAAGTTGGGATTTTCTATGGGTTTTATTTTTGCCTAATCAATCCGACATATCAAATTTCATAAGGATCGGCCGACTATATTCTATAACTGCCATATAACTGAACGATTGGAAATGCCATAACTTTGGTGTTTTTAAAGTTAGGAAGTTGGGATTTTTTATGAGTATTAAGAATGCATTATGAATGATTTTGGAGAATATAATTTGCAGAATATTCTGCAAGGGTATTTCAACTTCGGCTCCGCCCGAAGTTAGCTTTCCTTTCTTGTTAGATAAGCCTTTACTCAAAAAATGAGTACAACAAAAGATTATGTTTTTACTTTAAGGAATTAATAAAAACCATTAAAAAAAATTGTTCGATTAAGTTGATTGGAAGTCGTTTTAAATTCTAAGCATTGCCTACTCCTAGATTAGAGAATAAGATATCGTTCATATAAATAATAACAAAACTTTTACAATTATTAATGTTATAATTCTAAGTGTCATTTATTTCTCATTATTTTCCACGCAGGCAGAGTCCCCTCTTCTGCCCCTGAAGGACGACGAGCCATCGCCCCCTCGAGTCCAGAGCTCATCGCACATATCAGCCAGTAGGTCACCCCACCAGTACAGCACCCTAGCCGGTGACCTCCAGCAGCACTCGCCACCCACTTCTGCGCCCAGCGAGCTGACCAACTGTCCAAACTCCCTGGCCTCCAGTAGGGAAAATCCGGAGGGAGAGACCAACAACAACAGCACTAGCAACAACAACAACAACACCAACAACAAGGACGAGTTCTACAAGCACATTTCGGAAAGGGAACTTCCCAGTCCCACCCACAAGCAGCATCACGAGTACCAGCTATATCCCAACGACACCTTCGCTCGACTGGAGGGAAAGGCCCCGAAGCCAAACACCAAGATGCAGACCAAAGTGGACGCCGTGGGCAGGATCACCGGGCCGTGGGGCAAGTGGCAACTGCGGACGGTACTGCTCATATTCCTCTGCAAGATCCCATCCTCCTGGTTCATGGCCTGCATCATTTTCACGGCCCCAGCTCCGCGACACGGGGAATTTTTCTGCAAGCCACCGAACACGATTGGCGCCCAGAACCAAACGCAGTGGATCAAGGTTTCGCATCCGCAAAAGGAGGAGAGCGACGATCAGGAGTTCAGCATCGACTTCTGCAATGTTTACCAGGATGCGCAGGAGCACGCCCATCACTACTACAACTACGAGAACAGTGACCAGGAGCCGCGGGTGTGGGAGAAGCCCCTGCACCGCAACTCCAACGTGATCCCCTGCACGGAGTTCCAGCACGAGGCCGACTACCACTCGGTGGTCACCCAGTACGATCTCGTCTGCTCCCGGGACATCCTCGTCTCGGTTACGCAGTTCTTCCATCTGTTTGGTGTCCTCACCGGCGGCATCCTGGCCAACCAGCTGCTGAAATAGTAAGTCCGAGGGCGATGCTTCAGCTTAGGATACCGTTCTAAGGGCACATTTTTTCAAAAGTATTTAAATGTTATATATAACATTTGTACCGTTTTAATGACTCATACGTTTGTTTTTTTTATATTTGTGCAGTCCATTAAAAATCCATGGTTAATATGAGGCTTACTAACAAATAATCATAACATCTAATTTTTTTTAAAACTTTTAGATTATAAAAAAACTTTGCAATTGTTTAAAACTCTATAGATAATTTAATTCAGAAAGTTCTCCTACGATAGCTTAACCGAAAACATTGCAAAGATGGCAATGCAAATAACCTTTTCAGTCTTAAGCTCCCGCAATAACAGTAAATCAATAATCTAAAATCAATATTACTTTAACATTTTATTTGGCTGTTTCATTTTTCTAGCTTCAGTCCCCGAAATGTGATGCTCTTCGGCATGATCACACAGATATTTTGCGGCAACCTCACGGGGCACGTGGCCTCCTACGAGCTGCACGTGTTCTTCCGCTGCCTCTCCGCCGTTTGCTGTGCCCAGATGTACACCGCCGGTGGCCAGATCAGTGAGTCCCGACCCCTTGTCCTCCCTATCGACCATGTCTGATACCATATTGTTACTCCCTCCGCAGTGGCCGACATAACGGGTGGCAAGTACCGCACCTGCGTCTCCACGCTGTTCGAGCAGTTCTGGTCCATTGGCGTGATGATGCTGCCCGGAGTGGCTAGCTTCTGGTCCAGCTGGTCCCACCTCTACATGGCCATCTCGTGGCCCACTGTGATACTCATCTATCTGTGGCAGTAAGTAATAAAAGAGCTGGGAAATACTTATAATCGACCTTCAAAAATATAAGATACTCGATTTTTACCATCTTGTAACCAAATATGTTTCCCATTTAAAAAGGTGTTTTGAGCCTATTTTTATACCGCTATACATAGTTCAAAGGACGATTTTGGGTAACTTTTCATTTTCGATATCATTGAAAAGGGCAAGTCATTGTGGCTTTCGAGGCCAATAGGCTAAACTCCGGTTCCAGTAGATTATTATCCTTTAACGTCTTTTAAAAATATATTTAATTTTACAAAATTATTTCTTTTACTTTTTTATTATCTTTTATAATTTCAATTTCAGTCAGAATTTGGTAAAGCATTTAAGGGGGCAGTTTAAAAAAAAATTGATTTTTCGAGGACTTTTTTGGGAAGGAAAGAAATATTCGATTGAAACAAAACTTTCATGTTTTATTTTTATACTGTTGAAATAGTCTTCTCAAATTTGTTCATAAAAATATATGTCACATTATCTCTAGTACAAGCATTTCGCCGAGGCGCCTCGAGTGGGCATGTGTCGTGCGGCGGGAAAGATGGAGGGCGCAATTTTCATCTAAAAAAAAAAATTTCTAAAAAAATGTTGTTTCAGATTGTTAAAAAAGTGTGTTAATCATAACTTTCTTAAGGTTTTTTAGGTTCAACTAGAAGAGAATTTAGTCCCAAATACAATAAATTTGGTCTTGTTTCTATAAGACGTTTAATTTTTCCCCTGTCTTTTCCGCCAATTAGGAAAAATTGTAAAAAAAACCGAGAAAAACCGCACGACAAAGTTTTCGTATGTATATTAAAAATCGTAACGCTTGCTCACTTGTACTCCTGTAACTTTAATAATATTTTGCATTTACTTCTGAAATTTTAGGGACACATTCTTGGAAAGTTTGGTAGAAATTTAAGCGAACAAATTTTTTGAAGCCTCTAAGCAAGTTTCCCCTTTAAGGAGACCCTAAAAGTAAGGGGGGGGAATCCATATAAAGTGTTTCCGTATGGCCGTCTTTCCATTGGAATTTAGCTTATATTTCGTTTTTTATTTAGTTAATTGAATATCCAATAGACTTCGTGAACAAAATTTTGGACCATATATTAACATTTTTCTGGGATAAAATAAAGAAAGAAAACAAGGTTATAAAAATAGTTTTTGCTGAAATTAAGTGGATTTCACTTTAAAGTCAATTCAAATATTCTTTGATTAGTTAGATTAGGATTTCTAGGACTTAAGAACATATATGGAAACCAAATCTAAATTGACTTTAAATGGTTTGTCCTAAAAGCCATATTACTACATATATTTTGAACCTGCTTGACTGATACATGCCTCTCGCTTCGCAGGTGGATTCCCGACTCCCCGCGCTGGCTGATCGCCCGCGGACGCACACAGGACGCCAAGAAGATCCTGCTGGAGTGCGCCGAGGTGAACGGGACGCGATACAACCTGCCCCACGACATCGACAAGCAGCTGGAGCTGCAGGCGCAGACGGCGATGGACGCGCCTCCGCCGAGTGGGTGGTGGTCAATGTGGAAGGGCGAGCGGGCGGTGCGGCACATGGTGTGCGTGCATCTGGCCTGGTCGCTCTACATTGTCGTCTACTACGGCATGCTGCTCAACATCCGCTCCTTCAGCCGCGACCACCTGTACATCAACACCTTCTTCGCGGGCTTCAGCGAGATGATGGGCACCTTCTTCGGGCTCTTCCTGATCCTGAAGACCACCCGCAAGTGGTTGTGGACGGGGCTGTTCAACATCGTGGCGGGCTGCATCGCCTACTGTGGCTGGTTGGTCCCGAAGCCCAGTGTGATTGGACTGGATCCCAATGTGGCCCTGCTGATGTGCTCGGCCATGGTCTCCAAGATGGCCATCTCCACAACGCTTAGTATTCTGACCACCTGCACGGTGGAACTCGTCTCGGATGACAAAAAGAAAATCACCTCCTTCTCCACCATTTGCTGGGCCCGTTTTTGGCTGCTGGGAGCACCCTTCATTGGGTCCACAGTGGTCTTCGGTCAGCTTATTCCCCAGACGGCCTTCGCCTCTCTGGCCATTTTCGGGGGCTTGTGCACCGCCTTGATAAGCAGTCCTAGAACACATCCCATCTCCAGACCCGCTTCGCCGGCTGCCCAGGGCGCCCAGAACATGGCCTCCCAGTTCACCATCATCGACGGCATGGACAACAAGGGCTATACGCCAACCACAAAGCCGATCCACTCGAACAGCGCCATTAGGAAACTGACCACGCCGCAATCGAATCTACCTCCTCAACTGATGCCCGGCATTTGGACGACCAAGATAAACGAGGATGGCCCACCAATGTGAACAGTTCTTGCAAAGTGACGATGGGTTGAAGTGGTGTTAGGCTTGACAAAATGCAAGAACCATTTCCCTAGCCAAGGGTAAGCTGTTCAATAGCACTACTAAATGGAAGAAGCATATGTTCAAAAGTAAATTATTGCTAGATTCACAGCTAGGACTTTGGTTTGGTTCACTTTGGTGGTGCTGTGACCTGTAAACTATAGTCTACAAATTTGATAAGCACTATATACTTATATCCCGTTTAATAACATTAGGGCATATTCTTTAGTAAGGCAAACTAGCAAACTTTCCTAAGAGTAAAAGTCAAGTTAGGTCTTTTTGCACACTTTAGTAGGAGCTCAACTTTATCCCATACCCTAAATCGGGATGCTCAAATGTGAAAATCTACGGCACATGAAGACAAAGGTACATTTTTAAGTAGGCAACTCTTAAGCTTAAAGCTGTGGAACAGAATCCTCAACCAAACTGTTTTAAAAAGGAAAAGACGCTCGCAAATACAACCCATAAATGGTAACAGCAAAAAACGACATATACTTTTCATTAATATTAACTTTAGGACATAGTTCATTTATTAAACCCGGAAGGCCATAAAAGCACTCGAGTCTGGGATATTAGCTTCAGCGCAGCCATAATTAGTAGTCTCATAAGCAAATAAGTCAAGTGTGGGACAAGCCTTGGAAGAAGCCCAGTATTACGCAGTCACTATTGAACCAAAACAGAACCGTACCGAATCGAACCTCATGTAGAACCCACTGCACAGACAAACCAACATATATTGGTGATCCTTCTAAAGGCCTGTGGTTCCACATTTCAGTGATTGTGTTGCAAACACCTGGAGAGAATTTCATGAAAAGACATATAAGAGTAGTTACACAATAATTACATATTATGGAGTTTTAATTACTTACCTTTATCTTTGATAAAACTAATTGATTCTTAGAAGAAAACAATAATTTTAGAGTACACCTTAATTAATATTACCATTATGTATTATGATTATCAATTACCAAGCTAATTTAATATAAATCAATTAGTAGTTTTCAGGTCTTACATACATAACTATGAATATGAAATATTTTTAAAGTTGCATCATCTAGTAATACGCTTAGCAACTTGTTGAATGTTATCTGATAATGGTTACTACATGAATGGAAATGTTATACATGGCAAAAGAGCAATATTTTTCTAATAAAGCATCCCCATAAAAACAAACAGATTCGTTTCTATTATTAAGTTTATCTTTCAACAACAAAACTATTTCCAAGTTTGAGGAATATTATAACTTATCCTACATAGTTTCGGTAAGAACCTTTAAAAAGTAATCTAAAAAGTAATCTAACTCTGGGTTGGACTATACTTTTCCATGATATTTGGGTGCTTCTAATCAAAGTCCAACACAAAATTACGTTCCACCAGCCTCAGGTTCCGCGGTATATCTAAAAATACGATAATCATTTTGAATTATATAGCTTATTTAATTGTTTTATATTTCATTCCTTGTACCAAAACCAGTGATGCCTAAACTTTAATGTGTAACGTTTTTTCTCTGTCACTGAGCTGTATTCAAAATAGTACGTTTTGCAAAAACGATTTAAAAATTTATTTAAATGCTTTCAAAATTCCCGTTAAAAGTGGTTACCAAAACTATTCATCATTCCAAGTTGGCTATTAAGTTGAGTTTCGAATGAATTTTGAAACTGCTATAGCTCGGTAAACCATTCTAAAATTGTAGGTATTAAACGTTTGCCCCTTTAAATGCAGAACAACAATTAACAAAAAAAATTCATTAGGTGCCTCTAAAACGCAAAAATCCACATTTTTCTCCAGTTGGTACTATTTTTGTGTGGGTTTTGGGTTTCTGTAAAATTGTTCTGAAAATCAAAATATTTACATCCCAATTTTACATGGTTTAAGTTAGGGGTGAAAAATAGTCGATTGCACTATCGATGGGACTATTCATGCTGCAATAAGTATAAGGTGCTTTTTGGCAAAATGTAGTTGTTGACTATAACTTAAAGTGTGAAAAGCCTTTTCAGTGTGAGAGAAACAACAGTAAAGTGTGTTGATTAACCCTTGGCGGTGCATGGGGTTAATACTTATGATAATTTTAAGAGTTAAACCTTTTAATATATTTTTTTAGTTTTTGGGGATTGAAAAGTATGCGCTGTATTTGTATATATTTTTGTTTGTTACGGTTCCGCGTCTATTCGAGTATTGTCATACTTGAAAGCATATTTATTTTAAGCATTTTTTTGTTTTCTATAAGGTCTATCACGACATTAAGGCTTCCTTCTTTAATTTTAACATATGCAAACCATATGTATACTGCAAAGAAAATCCTTTTCTATATAGATAACTGTATGGTAGAGGTCTCGCGAGAGGTCTCACATCTTTAATATTTTTATTTGGGTTTCACCGATAAAATGTTGCCTAAGGACTTTTCCAATTCCTGATAGACACTACATTAGACTAATCTTTTTTCTTAGGCTCTTATTTCCCAAAACCATTGTAATAATCCTGTTTTTGAACTTACCTATTTAAAAAAAAATAACTTACTCTGTTTGCAAGCTTAAGGCTCTGCCTCTACACTATATCGTTTAGCTGTAAAGCAATGAAATGCGTACGTCGAGATATTTTATCAAATTTTTAACTTCTCACCAACGAGTTTGATTTCACAACGTTTTCCTCACTTATCATTTTCGTACATTCATAAATTTTTTGGCTTGCTCGTGCTTCTAACAAAAGTTGGAAAATGTAATTTTTCTTTTGAACGCGTAGGGTTGCACTAACTGAGCGTTAAAGGACTAAAAAACAAACAAGTTGGCAACCGACGAGAACACCTTATATTTAATTCGCCATGCGACTATTGATGCATCTTATAGCATCATCTCACTGGCAGTAAATAATACAGTTTTAAAATCAATGTGAAAAATCGATTTTGGAATTAACGCACTCACGCTAAATGATCGTTTACACTTAGCAATTACGAGTACATTTGGCTCTAAAAAAACAGTTGTACTTTGTTTTGATTAGTATTAATATTTAAAGGACGAGGACAATCTGTCAATAATGAATGAATGAATTAAATTATTATTATTTTTTTATTTTTATTTATTGTTGAACACGCCACACAATGATGGATCTTGTTTTCGTGTATTGTCAAATTATTTCGAAAGATCCCACAAAAAGCGCATAGCGGGTGCTCCATTGTTGGGCAAATAAAAAATAAATAAATGAATGAATGTAAGGTGAATTGAGTTTCACATTCACACCTTTAATAAAACACTGGTTTTTACGTATAAAAAATTGTATTTTAGCCAAAGGCCATATAAGTTAAATAACCGTTTTGTGAACAGTTCTCGGTTGCAAATAAAAACACTTAAATCCATATCTTCCCGCCTTCTTTATTATTGCTTGTTGTTAAAAGATAGGCCAAATTTCGATTAAAAATATAAATAAAATCAGATGGCTTTGTATTAAACGCACTTTTTCCCGTGTCCCTATGTAAAATACTGAGTTTGGCCCTAAAACACAATAACGCAGTCCAAGTTAACAGGACCAAAAAGTTCAAAACACTTTGTTGGAAGAGCCTCATATAAAGCATGTTTTCTGTCACAATTTTTTATAAATATTTCAAATTTGTTTGGTAATAAAATTTATTTTAAAGAAAATTTTAGCTTTGTTACAATTTGAGGGCCTCTAGTATTTTTTGTATGAGTTCTATAGTATTTTGCAGCGGCTAGCGCGCGGTCACACTGCCAATTATGCTTCTTTAAATTGTAGCGGCATTTTTGCAAAAGCAACGCAGAAAATTCGCGTCACTTATCTGACCAACGTGATAAATAGGAGTTTTCCCATTTTAACCAACATATACATACTGAAAACAGCAATCTGCCGATTTAAGAGCGTTGCCTACTTGGATATATGCCATGGAATTCGATGGGGCAGACAATGGCTTGGGAATGGGAATCGGCGGTCGCGGAGTTTTGCGCGAGATCAACAAAAACGATGGCGGCGTTAAGGTAAGCGGAATAACTAAACTTTGGGGCGAGCCCGTCCCACCGACCATGTGCGATTATGCCAAAACATTCACTTTCTAGCATGTGCACAAGTAGGCCCGCACCCTCCCCTCCTGGAATATAATGTAAGGCGTAATGCTTTGATCGCAGGCTGTTTCTGCTATTTTCCTTTCTTCGCATGTGTACATTGGGTATATTATTTGCTTGCGTTATTTTTATTAGCTCTGGCAGCTGTCGTCGACGATGGTTCCCCAGTCGTTCAGTGTACGCCGGACATTGTCCATCCCAAGTGTCCAGACTCAAAGACCAGCTACAGCTCCACCCCGAAAATGGGCAACAAGCCGGGCAAGACAAAGAAAACGAGGGCCTCGACCGGAAAATTATCCAAAAAGTCGGACAACGGGCCAGGGAATCTGGTATGCCAAGTGAAAATCCAATTCGATGCATTATCGGAGTGTGCCGGCTGCCTCTTGACATTTTCCACTGCCCAGATGTTGGCTAAATGCTATCTTAGCCAAAGTGCAAAATCAAAATACAAAATGTTAATTTAGACCGCTATTTCGGGTTTAAGGTAGCTTTCTTTCCAAACATACCGGCTAATTGGGATCTACTGATTCAGAAGGAAATACTTTTTGACTTAGTTGAACCCGAAGTCATTAAACTCCATCTCCCCTTTGACCACCAACGTTTCTCAGTATGGAGGATCTGCAGACGCTGCACCCTTGTTGTCTGCATTTCTTTTTCGCCTATTTATAGTTAAGTTTATAGTTGCCTTTCCCCAATATTTGTTTGCTTTATATTCCCCTATGTGTTGGGGCATAGGATATTCGAATTTCAGTCAAAGTTTCCTATTCAATTTTTATAACTTTGGGCCATCAGATGCCACGTATAAAAATCGCGTCTTCCAGTATATACAAAAAAATAAATTGTTTATTTTTATAAATTGTACATATATCAGTCTAACCAGGCATCCCAATATGTTTATCTGCTTTTCTAGCCTCATTATGAAATGAGTTTATAAATACTTCGAGAACAGTTACTACACCATACCTTATGGTGGTTTGGAGCTTAGTAGTCTGTAATGTTTTTAAAAGTTATTTTTAATAAACTATTATTGGGGTATTAAGATTAAGTGAAGACAAGCTCTATTTGGGTTCCAGTCGAGCTTAATATAAGTTACCACCCTCATTCATTGTTTTCGGATTCCCACTGGGAGGGGGTTGGGGGCCGGGGAATGTCTTGTCACCTGTCACGCATTGCTTGGCTAACGCCAAAGCCAACATCTATCATTTGCCACCTCGTCATGGCCCATCGTGTGGGATTCCGTTTCACTGCTTAGATTTTCTCGCCAAATATGCAAAGTCAGCCGTTGGGCAATGTGGAGCACTTCCTCGGTTCGATTCGACTCGTCTTGCAGATAGTGCGCCGTGATGCGCAACAATAGCGGTGGGATTGCATGTCACTTGGCATCCACAAGGGCTGCACCGGAAAAAAATGATGATTATATGAATGTTATTTAGAACAAATCGAAAGGCAGTCGCACTTCAATAACAGACCAGAAATATCAGTTTTACCACTATATCTAAAATGTGCAAATTTGAATTTTTCAAGAAAGCGCAATGGGTTTGGCGCTTTCTTGCTTGTGCATCCAATTATTGTAAGTGTGCAGGGTTCCTCCAGCTGTTTGGCGAAGACTTTCATTCATTAGCAGTCGACGGTCGCCCTATTTTCGTATTCCCCCGTTTTCTATTCCCCTCTATGAGTGTTTCGGCTTATTTGCGGTGTCTTGCATTTTTCACTGCTGCCTTTTAGTCTGAATTAAGTCTAAGGCTTGTCTAGTTTTTCAGTTTTCCACTGCAGTTCGAACAAGAAGGTTGTCATCTGGCGCCTGCACTATTCCCATTGCAGTAAATTGCGTTTCAATTAAGCGGCTTATATAAATTAAATTGCATTTGTTCGCCCACGCGCGCCTAGGCGATCGGCAATCGAGGCGATAAGTTATCTGATCCCATGCGGTCAGAGCTATAAATCCAAATCCAAAACATGGACAAAGTTAAATTCGCCATTAAAAATCAAAAAAAAAATAAAAAGGAAAAGAAAAGACTGTTCAATACGGAAGTTCGATTTGAACCCACTACCGATTGTTAAAACATTTCTGGCTTGCCACAAATGTAGAATTTTGGATATGTTGGACCAACTTTTGTATTTATGTGGCTAATAACTTAGACAAAAGACTGGGTTATAGCAGACGCAAGCTGGATAAAAGAACAAGTGAGATCAATTCTCATTATCCCAAAATATAGGTGACTGTAAGTGCCAACTTACTTTAAGAGCGGGAAGAGCCAGCATTAAAATAGAAAGAGGGGTGCTGATAAAGGGAGAACTGCGACGAGGGCTAGAAACGATCCAAACTCATAGTTATACAAAAACATCCGGATCGTTATGTGGATGGCATTCAAATTTACGCTCTCTCTCTCTCTGCCGGTTCCCCACAATCTCGCCATACCCAAAAACATTTGTGCATGTGTGACGCTGAGCGGAGCAAAGCAAATTGAAAACGAAAATATTTTTAAATTGATTTCAAAGACAGACAAGATCGGGAGCCAGCGAGGAACGTACGCGGCAACGGGTCGCGAGAATCTCGACGATATTGCCTAATATAATGAAAGAGCGGAAGGCGGAAAATCACAGTAGAGATTTTTCCGAGTAGGCGAGAAGAAATCTGTGTCACAACGGAAAACCCGAAAAAAGGAAAAAACACTAAAGACCAACCAAGAAATTCGTTCGATCCATCGGTTTATGGAATCAAGTGAACCGTAAATCGAATTGGAAGTTAATCGTGCGTAGAGCGTCATGGATTTCATCGCAAATATAATCAAAAGGCCGAAAAGCATCGCCACCACTGGCATTACCACCACTCAGCCAACGGGCAAGAAAGCCACAGAAACTGCCAGTCCCGTGGATGATCATCCTTCACCAAAAGATCGTGAAGGAGAAGCTCCACTTATAGGCACGCATCTGGGCACCCTTCTGGAGTCGGCTTCGGAGGATCTGCTGCGATTGGAGGAGCAGCACTCCAGCCTGCTGATGGATCCCCACTCTACCCCACCTACGTCCCCCGCAAACAGCAGTAGCAGTCGCGAAACCATCCAGCAACTCCTAAGCGAGATAAACGTGAATTTAAACCAAGTCAGTGCTAACGAAATGGAGCACTTGCAGGCTATGAGTTGCGAGGTATGTTTCCAAAAAAAGGGCTTGTTTTTGAGTTTGCCTCTACCTTTCCAGGGGGTATTTTCAATTGGGTCAGATGTTTGTTAAACAGTAACGCGTTCAATATAGACAAAGAAATAAGTAATTATTAGTGATTTCAATTACAAATCAAAATGTATAAATTATTGTAATTTTGGCTTTAAGTAATGATAATTAAAATCTTTGTATTTCGAATAACTTGTTTGTTGGCTTATTGTAATAAATTTTACGATTTCAAAGGGTCATTTTAAAAACTACCACAAGAAGTATAGATTCCATAGAATAGAACTTTCCAAATCGTTATATTGACTAATGATTTCTGAGAAGGTTTCGTTTTCGTTATTTGTACCCAAATCTAAGTCTTTCGGGGGTGTCACTGACGAAGTTAGGTTAACGAAAATTCTGTGACACCCCCGATTGTTGTTTTGTCAGATTATTGCGCTGCAGAAATAATTATTTAAATTACATTGAAATGCATTATTTCTTTTGGCTAAAATTAGTACAATCTGTAGACATAAAGCTGCATTGTCAGGGAAAAAAATATGTTTTAAACAAATATTCAAATTGATGCATTGACAGATGTTTTGCTTTCTAAAACTATACTTCATGAAAAAATGTCGCTCTACATACATTAAACGTTCTTAATAAATTAATAATTGAGTTTCTATGATATTTTGGTTCTACGTTTCTTGTCATTAGTTAGGTAATATCTTCTGGCTAACTTAACCTTTATCCTATTTCGTATTTTAACATGGACGCGCCCATTTTCTCGTCTAATTCATCTTTCACCCCAATTTCAACATTTACGTGGACGCGCCCATTTTATCGTCTCCGCTGACTTTAACCTTGCCGCAATAATCGTACTATAATGCGGCCTAATTAAATTCCGTGTGTAGAACATTGCACTCAAACCCTGAATAGTCGGAAAATACGACGGACCTGAGGCCGGCCGTATTGAATCCGCCGCATGTTCAGATGTTTATTTCGCACTGCACAAAAGCTGACGCCGACCCAGTTTCACGTTCATCTCCCCACCGTGTGCCCCACAATTCCGTTTCACCGCTTTTCTTCCATATGCCCATTTTCTCACTTCTTGGCTTGCTTTTAAATTAATGACACTTGGTTGTCGAATGACCGACTGCGACGAACATTTCAAATGTGTGCTCCCACTTGGCCAAGTGTGGTGATAATCTAAAGATTGCTCGTCGATTTATTCTATATGAATTTATTCTTTCAGATATATTTTTGATTTTCCCCTTACAGAAATAAGAAGAAAAGATAAAACTTTATATTACTATTTTTCCTAACAGTTAAGTTCAGTACTAATTATTAAAAATTTCGCGATCCTTTCAGATGCACTGTAATTTGTAATTTTATTAAAATCCACAATCAGAACACAATAAAGGGTGCCCATATGTACAAATTTTGGGTAAAGGGCATTTTTGTCGAGAATAGTCGACCGTAAGCCCAGAGCGACATATTTATGTCACCAGAGTCCCTTACCTATCTTCACTCAAACAATTTGACAACAATTCTTAATTAAATGCTCAAACAGCTGTTGTCTGTGATCTTCTTCATTATCCCATCCCGATCATTGCTTGTTTACGTATTCGTTTGCCAATTTTTGGATTATGTTTATTTTTCCCTGCCCCGTCCATATTATTTTTCATAACTTTTTATTCGAATCATGTCTCACGCGATGCACAATATGTAATTAATTTTCAAACATTTTCTGCATATTTCGTTCGGCAGCTAAGTCCGCTGGCGGTGAAGCCCAGTCCCAAGCCTTCAAGCATGGAGCAGCAGAAGGCTCTTGCCGCTGCTCTGGGCCATCAGACGGCGGCAACAGGTTGCGCCAAGATGGATGCAGACGCGGCTCCCAAATTTGGAGGTCTTCCAGAGTTCGACGAGTCGCAAATACCGGATCTGGCTTCTTTAAGTGCTGAAATGGAGGGTGAGTACAAATTGCTTACACGGGAAACGCATAATTATTATTTGTTTTAAATATTTTATTTTGTTCTAACACATTTTTAAAATTTTAAATAAACGACAACAAAATCGGTATTGCCTTTTAGGATGTATTTTGAATATTATTAATAAAACCTAAGAGTTAATTACGTTTTCTACAAATATGTATAATTTTTAGTTGTCTTAAAGAATGAATTGGTTCTTTTTGAACAGAGAGTGGCGTATTTTAATTATAATATCTGTATCTTTAATTTCTCCTACAGCTCAACGAAAATCAAGTCATTCGGATTCAGATGTTTTCGTGGAATGTTTATCGCTTCATAGCGAGCGGTATACGGGGGATCGCTCCGAGTTGGAGGCCTATTCGAGTGCCCTTAACGATGTGTTAGAGCAGCAGTTGTCCATGACCTCGGGTGCCACACTGGAGAACGAATTCGAAGATCCTTTGGCGGTCAGCCACTACAACAACGTCAGTTATGAAGCCATGGATGTGGATGACATTAATGAAACTATGGAAATGTTAAAGGATGTTCTGGGTCCTGAAGATCATCAGCTATTGCAACAGCAGTTCTTAATCGAATCTCAGCGAATTCCAGAGATGGATCCAGTGCAGATTCACGGAAAACAGGGGATGATTGAAGAGTCTTTTGTTCTTCAAGAACACTTAGATAAACAAGAAGTACTTGATAGTCAATTGGAAGATCCGTCCTTAAAGGAACTAAGACAGTCAGAAGATGCTAATGAACCAGCCCAATGTACAGAACCTAACTTATCTGATTTGAATTCTCCGCGAGAGATAGAGAATTTACATTTTGAGAAAATGGAACAGAAACAAATAAGTCCAACACAGGAAACAGAGCGGCTTAATCCGGAAGAGCTATTACAGGAGCAGGAGATTCATAAAGTGCAACAAACAAGTCCAAATGCGACATTGCAGGAGCCAAACCTTCCTCAGGATCCCCGGCGCTTTGAAGAACCTCTAAATCTTCAAGAACTGACTCGAGAAAAAAAAGAAGATCCTGTAGAATGCCCTAATCAGGAACAGGCAACTCCGGTGCCAGTAGAAACAATAAAAAAGACCGAGCTGGAGCTAACGGAAATCGCCATTTGCCTTGAGCAAAAAAAAACACCAGCTGTTATGGCTACCGAGGATAGAATAACCGGGGAGGAGTTTGAGCCCATGGAAGTGGATGTGTCTATGCGAGTGGATGACGCCACGGTGATAAGGTCACCTCAGCAGCAGCAAAAATATTCCGAGGCACATTTTTCATCATCTCCCTTAGAACTCTCTGAGGCAAAGGAAACGACTCCTTCACAACACCCTGCTCACGAACAGCACGTAGATCAGATCCCAGAAGAACCATTAAAAAGGATTCAACTAGAGCCACCAGAGTCAGTTCTCCCAGCAGCACCGGTCTCACCGCCGATACCCACGCTTCAGGCTAAATTTGAAGAGCTTCCCCTTTCTCCGCCCATACCCACGCATCGCCCAAAGACAGCCGAGGAACTGGAATTCCTGGCTCTGAGGGAGTTGCCTTTGCCCGATGAAGCAGATGGAGACAACATGAATATGCCGATGGAGGAGGCGAAGGGTCAGGTGCTGGAGAAGGAACAACCGCATCACTGCGCGCCAGTGGTGGCAGTCACACCGACGAAGATCCGATCTACTTCGCCTCTGCCTTTGGATCTGGGTGGTAATACCACAGTGTGCAACCCGGAACCCACCTCACCTAGTTTCCCTATCCGAGGACCAGCGGAGAAACCCTCCCACTTCCCACGCTCTCCCCATGCTCCACCAGAGCAGGAGGATATGCCCTACTTGGAAGAGGCTGTGGTAGAACCTTCGTTGGATCGCAAACAAAGCCTTTTTGGGGCTGGAGTCATCGCTAAGTCAGGAGTGGTCATTGAGGTAACACAACCGAGTCCAGAAAAGCTGCAACATCTTAACGAAACCTTGCCCATGAGCGAACTGTCGCCTACACCCCTCAATGGTACGTTCGACAGCGGCAGGACAATGCCGGAAAACCCCGAGCTGGATAGGGAGGACATCGAGGGCTCCCCCACATTTGCTGCAAGTCTTGGATCTGTTGATGATAACCAGCGGCGCACTTTTTCGGTGATTCAGTCAACGGCAGAAAAAGAGGAGGCGAAATCTCGTAGGACGTTCTGTATGGAAAGGGAAAACCCACGGCGCACATTTTGCCTGGAGCAAAATGCCTCCCCAGCGGTGGAGGCTACAGAGGATATTTTGGCTGGTGACGCCATGGATGTGGATATCTCTATGCGGGTGGAAGAAGTAACCGTGGTAGGGTCACCTCAGCAAAATCGAAGGGACTACCAAGCCCCTGTTTCTAATTCACCACCGATTCCCACCCATCAAAATCTAAAGAGAGCACCCATCCATGAGACACCTTCACCAACGTCCCCACTGGGAAATGCTACCGTTATCCTGGAGGAGCAGGCCCTGTCCGCCAAGGAGCAAGCCACTCTAAGCGCCAGCGATGAAAAAGACGATGTTTTTGTCGAGCACTTTGGGGCTATATCGCCTGTGTCGGACGACATGTTCAAGACCCCGCAGTTTACTAGTAGTGGCTTCCACACTCAAGCCAAGGTTAAGGCCAATCCTGCCGGAGAAAACGGAGGAAAAGCGGCTGTTGTGCTTAGCAGGCAGAGAAGTGGTGGAGCTGGCGAGGAGGAGCCGCTTTTCGATGCCGAATTCAAGGATGGCGTCAGCAACCAAAACTGTAAGTCAATAACCTCTTTTCTGTTTGCAAAGCATGTGCCAACTGATATAATCACAGTCAAACTTTAACATAAATCTATGAAATACATTTAATACTCTGTACATTTATTTGTATATGTGTACATCGATTTAAATGTAAAAGTGTTTTTACGTCGAACTACGGTGGAATGTATGTATTCAATTCCAGTTATACTTAATATCGTTTTATTATGTCTATAAAATATATATTAAGAAAGTGTAATTACCTGCTATGCGTTTTTTAAAAAAATGCGTGTAGGCTCTGCGTATTGTTTTAAAAGATAATCACTCAATCCTCCTGTTGGCTTTTTTTGACTATTCGAATGCACATAAATCAATGAAACCATCACAAGGCGAGTCATATATATTTTCACAATTGGGCTCCGCCTGCCTAAAATTTAAAATTTATATTACCAATAAAGCCTTTGCAAAATTATAACATGGCCGTTCAGAAAGTACCTATGTACATACGCAATCACAGTCGTTTCGAACGACTCTAGAAAGATTTTTTGACAAATTAATTTTTTTTTTAACTGCAAAGGTATAGCCATATAAACTTCGGTTTCCCGAAGTTAACTGTAAATTAAGTGGATGAAAAACAAAATTCAGTTCAAGCTTCTCATATCTTTTACCGTAGTTCCCTCTAGTGGAAGACTCACTGTGCCAACGATTCCTTTGCATGTTCGTGACCTTAGCTCATCAGCCATTACAAAAACCCCAGCACTTATAAACTTTTGAACTTGAAATATTATGGACGCCATGAACTCGAGAATCTCGAGTTCCTCGTCCGTCTGCATTGACTATATCGCGGCGATATTTAACCGTAAAAATAAACCCGGCACACATGCAAGGCAATGAACCTGAACTTCAAATCGAGAAGGGGAACACTCCACTCGGGGGTAAAACCCCAAAAACAAAAGTATAAGCAACAACAAAACGCACCCCACAATGCCAATTAGTAGCATAAGTTTCTTTTTCAATGGCGAGCCATGGAGAGTAGGAAATGATTCTTTGCTTTTAATGTTTTATGTTTGTCTCCACGCTTGGATCCCGTTTCCTGTTTTTATTGTTGCTTTGCTGAAAATGCATTTTCTTTACTCTTTAATGGAAAATACCGCATTACGCGCTCTCTCATACTCGCCGCTCCCACTCAATGACTCTCTTCTGCTACTGCGACTCTCTGCTTTTCTCAATGTTCTCTGTCTCTCTTGAAGCCCTTATCAGCAAAATATCGTACGCGAATATAAATATTGCGGCTAAAAAGAAGCATTTGGTTAGCTGTGACGTCACTTCGTCTAATTGTCAGTTCTTGTGTTTTTTTTTCAGCTACTGCATGAGTATGTGTGCCCTGATGAACGCATTTTTATTTTTGATTAATTACCACAGCTCTTGCGGGAATTTGATTATTGCCCGCTTATGCAATAGAAATAATTTGGTTAAATTTCGTCTACTTCTTCAAATTAATATTTAGTTTAAATTGGCAATAATATTGTTCATAATTCTCATTCGGTTTTAGTTTAAAAATATGAATATCTTTTAATATTGGCGCTATGTCTATCGTTATCGCTGACTAGGAAAATGCATATCTGACTATCTCCCGTGCTCAAACAAACACAATATAAGCAACAGAAAATGTAAGTGCTGCTCTCATCATTCATAGAATCTTCAGTGAAGGACAGTGTAGACTTGCTAAATCGACCCTTAAAAAAACTCGTTTTATTGTTGTTTACATTGGCAGTAATATTGCTGTCCAAAAGATTTCGAAAAATATAGCTAAGACTTTGAAATTCTACATTTAGACTATTCAGCTGGTTGTTGTTACGAAAACTTTAGCAACGACTTATTGGACATTCAGACTGTTGAGCAGGTTTTTAATCAGCTTTAGCTCAGATCAGCTTAAATTTAGATTGTTTTTCTAAATTCCTTGGCGCCCATAAATTTCGTTTTAAATTCAGCATAAATCAATATATTAATTTAAAAATAAATAAGACGACTCTATTATATAGCTGTCTATGTACGTGTTGCCAATAGACTAATTTTATATGGTTGCAAACTGCAAGGTTATTTTGATTTTTGAGAAAATGTTTTTTAGTGTTTTGATATCGACGTCTCACTGTGCCCCATCGTCTACTCTCGCCCACTCACAAACACAAACGCTCAAGCGCATAGGAATTCAATTTAGAACTCGGCCCTGCACTTTTCAGCCCCCTTTCAGCTGCAGCAGAGCGAGAGACATTCAGATAGGTCTGCGGGGTGGTGGGAGAAGGGGTCACAACTCCAAACAGACAACGTGTACACAGCGCTCTCTCTTTCGCACTGGCTCTCTCTGCGCACTTGCTGACTGCTGAATACGCGTCACTGTCCCCACACTCCAGTCAGAATTCAGGCTCGTCCGTTCTCCATCTCGCTTGCTCGCGTGCGTGCGCTGGTTTTCTTATTGGACTTGCGGAGAGAAGTGTAAGCAATAAGAAATTCCATTTCAGTTAGTTTTCAACATCTGACGTCGCTATATCCATCGGTACCCTACTGCTGTTCAATCCTAGGACTGCCGAACTGCTTAATCGGGAAATGTAAATTTTGGAAAACGCAAAATAAGATTTATTTGTTAATTGCCTAAAGTTGTGGATGAAATATTTTGAGTTTGGCTTACGACAAGTGCTAGAAATTGGAAAAGTAGCCAGCAGCTGTGCAGAAAGAAAACAACAAATAAGCATAAATAAAGCCAGAAGACAAGTCTCCGAGTCGCTAAGAAAAAAATAATACGCGAGAGTGAGAGCGTGAAACTTCATTGTGTGATTTGCTCTGGGTATTAGTGTGTTTTTGAACATTTATATGTGGGTGTTTTTTGAGCGCTGCGTGGTCACGGCTAACAATATTATGCGAGTAACTGTGTAAAATCTTGAAAATGCAAACCTTGTCAAAGACACGCAATTAAAATGCAGCGCAGTGAAAAGCTGCTCTCTCGGTCCTCCGCTCTCTCTGTTTCTCTTCTCCTTCAATCAACCCACTTTCGGAAACCATTTGTCGATTGCATAAAATGACTCACAAGTCATCGTTTCACTTTGTTTTGTTTTGGTCCGCTGTCTTAAAATCTTTAAAATGCATAAACTAAAGCTACATTCCACCCAGTAGCTGTGACCTGCATTTAATATCTGGGCCTGCCCGGGTTTCTTACTATTTTTAAAGCCGACCATCGCTGGGTATCACATTTGTTTATGTACCCTTTCCATTCCATTTCCATGTGCACTGAAGAAAAATATTCACCTTGGTCCGGAAATGATCGGGTCTTTTTATATTTATGTTCTATTTGCTAAACCAATAAAAGCGGTTATGGTCGTTATGGTTGATTAATGATTTTTACAATTTCTAATTGTTTAACAATGTTTGTGTTCAATATATTTGCAAACAAGTGGTTATTAAACAAATAAAGAGCATCGCCTTAGAAAACAAAAAATTAGTATTATTTATCGACCACTGAACTATATTAAGTTCTTATAAAATTTATAAAACTTTTGTAATATTTTTATTTTTTTTATTTTTTATTTGATACCCATCCCAAATCTCAAAAGTATCTTAACTGTTTCGTGTGTAGGGTGAAAATGCGGCTTCTATGCAGAACAGGCACACCTCATTTTCGTGCCCCTCGGGATCTGGGTTTGGGGTTCAGGGGGTTAGATAGGGAGGGACACTTGCTTTGAGTCATGCTATATCTTATTTTCTTTTTTGTCATTGTTCTTCCTTTCGTCTTTCAGTCTTTTTTTTCAACGAGTCACTGAGAACATAGTATTGGAACAAAAAAAAATTTCTTCAAGAAACTATTTTCTTAGCCTCATTGACTTATTTTACACATTATTAACAAAGTAAAAAGCTTATTTGTCCGAGCTAAAGTATATATAATAGATTAACAGTAATAGACCCTATAAAGTACATATTCTTGATCACGATCAACAGTACTTGCTCTGATATCTTTGTAAACCGTATTTAATTTGAATTTTCTATTTATTTAACAGTGAGAAATCAAAACAAGATGATGCAAATTTATTAAAAAATTATGAATTACTGCCATATAAACATGGTTTTAAAAAAAGAGATTGCGTAAAATATCATTGGAAATATAACCACAAAGAAGGCTGCTCAGAACTGATAGTGAACAATGTAAATAAAGCCAATCAATGTTATTAGAGATATAGAAAAATACGTGGTATTAATGATAGTAGAAACAAGGCGATTAAAAATATATTTGAAATTGTCAACTAGACGCAACAAAAGAGATTAGAAACTTGATATCAGTGATCCACGGAAGAGCTATATGTTATTAATGTCATGGAGTTGACATTATAGTAGAACTTCCTTCTGAATTCTTAGAGCCAAACATCCTGATACAACGTAAACCCAACCCATTACGTTTCTCTTCTTTTCCCTTTTTATCTAATCCCACTTATTTTTCTTAGTTTCTATGTCAACCCCATTTGCTTTTTAGGGGCGTTTTTACCCATTCCCTTTTTTACACACCAGTTTTCCTGCTGTATGTAGTATGTACCTTTGCTTATAATGGACCATTTCCGAAGAAAGGAGGAGGTCGAAGAACCTTGACGTTGACATTGATTTGAACTGTACTGAATAGAATCCGAAATAGAGCCGTCAAAGCCAGTGACTAACTATTGTTTTTGTATTTTTTCTTCTTTCTTCACAAACACCATAATGCACGCGCATGCACTCATCTAAACATACCCATATACACCCAAAAACAACGAACACCATCCACAGTAATACTGAACTCATCAGATTTTGATTATTTGTACACGAAAGGCAGCAATAATGCGCCCATCGATCGCAGTTCGCTGCTGCTGAAGTTTGATCCGCTCCTTGGAGCCCCCGTTCCCGTAAATCATCCGAATCAGCAGGAGCAGGCACTGCTGAATATTCTGGGATCGAACCAGAACCAGAACAGGATCCTCAGTCCAACGTTGGAGGAGCACGAGACAAGTGGTGGTAACCATTCGTTTGGAATCCTAGCAAGTGCCAAAGATACCGCCAAGAAGTTGGATTTTAAGCCGCCTGTGGATAGGACAAAAGTAAGTTATAACTCTTAATTACATATAATTTTGGACAAAAATAGCAATATAAGCTGTTCTTTGATATGACTGTATTTTATGATTTATAATTGAACTAATGTATTTTCGATTGATTTCCGCAGAAGCATGTTAAAATGAGCGTGGACGTTATTGATAACGATTGCAACAAAACCTTTGATAATTCCAAGTGAGTAACAGGTGAATGAGTTGTATGTGTACCATATGTTATCAATTGTTATTGAAATTTCAGCCTTAATACGGAAGATAAGTCCCATAACTACAACAACATGGATGAGCTGGAGAAGAAAATCAAAAATGAAGTGTATGTATCCTAAACATAAAAAAAGCGCCAACTAAAGTTACTCTCCATTCTAGAACGAGGTCGGAAGACATTGAAAAGAAGTTGAAGGAGGGAGAACAACGCGAAGAAGCGTTGATCAAACGTATTACAGAAAAAGATAAAACCAATGCAAAACTGAAGTAAGTAACCCTGTTCTTTTAAATGAGGCAGCAAACATAAATTGAGTAATGCTCATGAAAACGGTTTCTAATCGACATTTTATAAGAATTTAATTCGAATTAGATTATACTAATTATGTCTGACAATAAGCTTAGACTTTGTGAAACGTGCAGTTGTTGACAACTTAAGGGGGTATATACCTTTTTTTGTCGAAAAAAATAGGAAAGTTTGGATTTTTTTATGTATGTAACTATTGTTTTTATTAAATGAATGATTATATTTTCTGAAAGTTTAGATTGTTGACAATGTTTATGCAAAAAATTTTGAAAAAATATTTAATAGTTTTTAAGGTGGGGCTGTTTCCCTTTAACGCCTTTTTTTTAAAGAGCCTTGCGGTAATAATTCCCCAGGACGAACGGGTCAACTGATACCGAAAAAATAAAAATATTTCATTAGTTTAAAGTAGTATCCTGTATTTGAACGAACGTTTCAAAATTTTTTTTTTTTTTTGCATACGGGAACGATTTATGCAAAAATTACGTTTTTGGACGCTAAAATTCTTACAAAACTATCTATTTCGGCGAAATAAAAATTTTTACATGAAAAAACGATCGTTCAAGTACTAATAAAATTCATTACGAACATTTAAAAAAAAATTTGAAGAAAATCGGTTCAGTAGTTTTTCGCCAATCCATATCACCGCAGTCATTTTTCAAAAAACACCATTTTGAGATATTCGCGTTTAAAGTTTTAAGTTTGAGTTTGAGCGGTGACGAGGCGCGCGGCTAGGAGCGCTGTAACTTTTTTTCTACTGCTCAAGACTCTATAAAAATTTGGGGAAATGTTCTCAAAAAGTTGTTCTTTAAGATAAAGCGAACAAAAATTTTCGATTTTTTGGAAATGAAAATGGTATATACCCCCTTAAAGGCGTAAATAGTAGGCACTTTTTTTGAAACCCATTACCTAGATAACATCTAATCTACCGAGGAAATATTGACTTTATTTTTTATAATTATACAATTTTATTACATTCTCTATTGCGGCTCTTTTGTTTTTTTTTTGTTTTGCTACTCTTGTTGTATAATGATTTAAGGAGAATAAAGTAAAACACGTACAAAACTAAGAAATGAAAGTTAAAATAAAATTATATTGCAATTAATTTTTTATTTTATTAAACTCTTAAATTTTATATTTTTAGAATAGTAATGCATCTTTTATTAATAGTCATGATAATTTTGTACACCAAAAAATGTGAAAAGGTCTCATTTCAATTGAGAATCAGCATTAACAGACTAGTAATCTGGTATAGTATATTTGCAAAATATGTAAAAAAAAAAAAAATCACAGCCATCTCTGCCTGCCCGTCATTGTGATCGGAAGGATATTTTTGCTTTCCTATTGTTTTTATAATGTTTGATTTAAAAAATACGCTAAATACCTGTTTTACTTTTTTTTTTGCAGCGGTGTTATCGAGGCGTATGAGAAAGCCATTGCGGAGCTGATCAGTGAGAAGGAGCAGCAGGCGCAGCTTCACGAAAGGCAAATGCAAGAAGTGCAGGCAGACCGGGACGCCAATTACCATCACTTAACGTCGCTGGAAACGACATTCTCCGATCTGCATGTGTAAGCAATATCCCAGTGGAGCCAGTAATTCTGGTTTGGACAATCGACTTACCACGGTGTTATTGTAGGAAATATGAGAAGAGCAAAGAGATGACCTCGCAGCTCAAAGGCAATGAGGAGTCGCTTCTGGCAGAGCGAAAGCAGATGATGGACAATCTGCGGTTGCAGGAGCAGCGCTACGACAAAATGAAGAACCATGCCATGCAGCAGCTGGAAATGTGAGCTATGAATATATTTTATCATATGTCTTTACCTAATAATCTTTCCAAACCTAGTGCTAATAAAAAGCTGGACACCTACGCGAGGGAACATGCGGACGAGTCGAAAAAACTGAAAGCTTTACTTAAGAAGGAGGAGGTCTCGCGGGTCTCGATGACGGAGCAGCTGCAGCAGAAGTCTCGTGAGAACGCCGATCTGCTCAAGATATGCGAGGAGCTCATCTACGGCAAGGGACAAGGTGGTAGTAGTTAAACTCAACCCGCGGATTGCTCGGAATGTATTTTATATGTTGCTGTAAAATCGCACACACCCTCATCACAACACTCTCATCCGGCATGTGGAGCCCATCTCGCAGCATGTCCGTAGATCTGTAACAGCGCCTCCATCATCATCATCTCCATTCGTACCATGGTGTAATAACTGCTCGGTTGCGTGCTCTTAACTGAATAAGAAAATGCAAATGCACAATTGTATCATTTTGCCTACTCCACTTATTTTGAATTTCAAGATGTACGTACCCCTAACGATCCGACGCATATTATACTTTTTCTAGATTTTTAGTTGACCCGTAAACACTCACTCACACAAGTCACAGGCAGACCCATTGCGTTCCGTTTGAGTTCCACTCGCCTTACGGGTCTGGTTGCCCGGCATATGTTACTAATTCTCTATCGTATCGAATCTGTCTACTGATTTATGTTCTCTGATATTACCTGGCGGTGAGTTCTGCCCGAAAACTGTATTGCGTTTGTGGTTTAGAAATTGGCCAGCGAAGCAAATCGATAATGTGCAACGGCAGCTAAATCAACCTACAAATGCAAATTATAACGAACGGCGTTTGCTTGAGAAGCGCCTTTATTAAATGTTTAAGTTTAAACTTAGTTTAATTTAATTGCAAATTTGTAATAGTCGTATTAAGAATAACTCTGTATTACATACTAGTACTAAAACAACAAAGCGTAAAAAACAAAAAGGAATCTTTCAAAATACACGCAAAAAATTTATTTATGCATAAAACAGATTTTTGTTTGCTTCGTTTACGCTTGAAACTTGTTTTGCCCAGCACAGAAAGAGGTTGCCTTTTATAGGAAAAAAAACAATTAAACTGATCAAAGGAGCTAAGACCCCACGCAATCGGAACTATCAAAAGTTGCTCTCCGTTTTTATTTATAAACTACAAAAAATTATTTATTTCTTTAAATTAAAATAATTGGCATTGCCTTAAACAAAATATTAAGCTATTACATTGTTTATTTGTAGGACTTTTTTTTCTTCAAGATATGTAAAATTACAAATTAATTTAAAACGGGCGCACGCTTGCCAATTCTAAAATCATAAAAACTTTTATAGTAGCAAGCCATTCAAAAAACACACCCCCAATGAATCCGTTGAGAACTCTTAATGAATTTTACTTCCATTTATGACATTTACTGTACTCTAAGAAGAAAATAAAGTTGTTGATCACATTAGTGGTGAGTGAAGAAACTCAAAGGAGAATTGTATACAAATTTGTACCCAGTCCATATATTCAGAAAAAATGCTACTTCATAATATATAACAGCATACATATATATTTTTCTAAAGTAGAAAACACAGACGAAACACTCAGACAAACACATGCGCTTTTAGGGAAAGTTTTCGAGGAAAAACCCGGAGAAGATAACGTAGTTTGACATTTGAAAACGAATGGATTATATATCAATGCGCTGTAAAAACACATAAATAGTATTAAAACATGCCAGCACATATGGCTTACGATGTGCTGAGCATGTGATGTACGAAAGGTGATCGAACGAGTTGCATAATTCAATAAATAAAATATGTAATTGCAATAAGCCCGAAGGTTGGAGTTGGAGTTCGCTGATTTATTTTAGTTTTATAAAAGTAATATGGTGCCTGCTCAAGAACATCAATGATGGCAATGGTGTTTAGAGAAGCATGCTTTTGGGGATATTGTGAATTTATATTTATACCCTTGCAGAGGGTATTATAATTTTGGTCAGAAGTGTGCAACGCAGTGAAGGAGACATCTCCGACCCTATAAAGTATATATATTCTTGATCAGGATCACCTCCTGAGTTGATATAGCCATGTCCGTCTGTCCGTCTGTCCGTCTGTCTGTCCGTCTGTCCGTCTGTCTGTTTCTACGCAAACTAGTCTCTCAGTTTTAAAGCTATCGAACTGAAACTTTGCACACACCCTTCTTTCCTTTGCACGCAGTATATAAGTCGGAACGGACGGGATCGGCCGACTATATCCTATAGCTGCCATATAACTGATTGATCGGAAATGCCATAACTTTGGTGTTTGTAAAGTAAGGAAGCTGGGACTTCCTATGGGTTTTATATTTGGCCAATCAATCCGACCTACCAAATTTCATAAGGATCGGCCGACTATATCCTATAGCTGCCATATAACTGAACGATTGGAAATGCCATAACTTTGGTGTTTGCAAAGCTAGGAAGCTGGGACTTCCTATGGGTTTTATATTTGACCAATCAATCCGACCTACCGAATTTCATAAGGATCGGCTGACTATATCTTATAGCTGCCATATAACTGAACGATTGGAAATGCCATAACTTTGGTTTTTTTAAAGTAAGAAAGTTGTGATTTTTTATGAGTATTAAAAATGCATCATATGAATAATTTTGGAGAATATAATTTACAGAGTATTCTGCAAGGGTATATCAACTTCGGCTTCGCTCGAAGTTAGCTTTCCTTTCTTGTTTTGTAAGGCCTTTGATTATTTATTTAGCAAAAGAGCGTACATTTAAAGTACGTACTAAGGATATTGAACAGGAGTTTCCTGTATTCAAACTAAATCCGAATGGTTTGATATTGCAACAATGCAATATCATTTTTAAAGTTACATTTTTATACACTTTTCGAAGGCACTGAGTGCATTAAAAGTATTAGAAAATGTATTGTAAATTTTACTTTTAAATATTTAATATTAAATATAATTAAACTCAACATTTTTTTTATTTTGCTCTAAAGTGAATATTTAAAATGTTTTTAAACAATTTTAAAATAACTTTTAAATTTTGCAATCGGAAGATCGTGTTTCTAATCAATCGATGCCTAGGGAATGTGGAATTCGGCCTCAGTGCTAATTGCAATTTAGTAAATTTAGTAAAATGAATATAAAATAAACTAAACGGAATTAAAAAAAAACGCCTCTAACCGTAAGCAAATGCTACACTTAGAACAGAAACAATTTACCTTTGATTTTAAAAAATTGGTTTTGTTAACCAAAATCCAAGATTTTCTGTCGATTGGAATTTGTCTTTATTTTAAGAAAATAGTTATTTGGAAAAAAGTGTTAGCCCTTTAAAAAAAACATTTCTCGTTGTTCTTAAACTTACGTTAACAGTCGTTAAAATTTGAAAATAATTTCTTTTAAAAAGAAATCCTTTCTGAAAACAATGTATATTGTTTTAGAATTAATAACTACCCGTAAAAATTAAACTAAGTAAATTAACTTTCACTGAGTGAATCAGAAAGTTAAGTATTCATTTATTTTATTTTAAGAACATTTGTTTTTAACATGATAGTACATTTTTCATCGTGTATTTTTTAGTTTCAGAAATATCGCGTTTGACTTGTAACCATGGAAAAATTTGGTTTCACCTAGAAGAATTAATGATGCCAACCAATTTTTAATTTTGAATAACAATTTAAATTTAGCCAATAGTATGCTCTTACACCGAAATACATTAATAACAACTGCTTGGTTGGGTTGAAAACCAAACGCTACGAAATAACATTGTTGATTTTTGGGACCACCCAGATTTTTTATACCCTTGCAGAGGGTATTATAATTTTGGTCAAAAGTGTGCAACGCAGTGAAGGAGACATCTCCGACCCTATAAAGTATATATATTCTTGATCAGGATCACCTCCTGAGTTGATATAGCCATGTCCGTCTGTCCGTCTGTCCGTCTGTCCGTCTGTCCGTCTGTCTGTTTCTACGCAAACTAGTCTCTCAGTTTTAAAGCTATCGGCTTGAAACTTTGCACACACCCTTCTTTCCTTTGCACGCAGTATATAAGTCGGAACGGCCGGGATCGGCCGACTATATCCTATAGCTGCCATATAACTGATTGATCGGAAATGCCATAACTTTCGTGTTTGTAAAGTTAGAAAGTTGGGATTTTCTATGGGTTTTATATTTGGCCAATCAATCCGACCTACCAAATTTCATAAGGATCGGCCGACTATATCCTATAGCTGCCATATAACTGATTGATCGGAAATGCCATAACTTTGGTGTTTGTAAAGTTAGAAAGTTGGGATTTTCTATGGGTTTTATATTTGGCCAATCAATCCGACCTACCAAATTTCATAAGGATCGGCCGACTATATCCTATAGCTGCCATATAACTGGTTGATCGGAAATGCCATAACTTTGGTGTTTGTAAAGTTAGGAAGTTGGGATTTTCTATGGATTTTATTTTTGGCCAATCAATCCGACCTATCAAATTTCATAAGGATCGGCCGACTATATCCTATAGCTGCCATATAACTGAACGATTGGAAATGCCATAACTTTGTTGTTGTTAAAGTTAGGAAGTTCGGATTTTTTATGAGTATTAAGAATGCATCATATGAATAATTTTGGAGAATATAATTTACAGAGTATTCTGCAAGGGTATATCAACTTCGGCTCCGCCCGAAGTTAGCTTTCCTTTCTTGTTATACATTACGCCTTCCTGTAGACAAAACTTGTTGTTCCGAGTTGTGCAAAACGCGTTAAATAAAGGGTATTTTTCTGTCGGTATTCTGCACAATAACCTTTTTTGCAATAAATATTTTAATGGCGAAAATTTTTTTAAGTTTTCGTTAACGGCTGTCCACAAAGGTTTTTTTTACCATTTATAAACTAGCAATAAATGTAGAAATTCTTTATTTCCCTTAAAAATTATTAAATTATTTCATGGAGTACTTTAAGGGATATTTTACTAACAAACGTAAGTAAGTAAGTAAAGTATTTTTCTTATTTGGCCGCCGAATATGATTTTAGCCATTCACTGAAACACGTTCGCTTCGATGTTTTTAAACGCTAGCTCAGAAGCGGGCTTAGGCTAGAAAAATACTCTAGACGTGGGGTTTAATGCTTACGGTAGGTTTTCAAGTAAAATATTTTAGGGGCTGATTCAGTCGTGATTTTCACGTCACGCTAAATTAAAAATTAAACCCAACCTATCCTGAAACGTGTTTTCAGACTTTCAGTAAGTAAGAGGGTTCCGAGTACAATCGAATCGGAAAGATGCGCCTTCATGGCCGCAGAGTATCCGAGTTTCAGCAATGTGGCAGCGCGCTTTTCACTTTTGTTTTTATATAGGAGTGCGATGGAGCGGCGGAGCGCTCAGTCGGTTTTCGTTCGTTGCCGAGTTAAGTTCACCGCGATTCCACCTCTGATCTGTGGAGTGGGCATCGGTTTGTGGCAGTTGGTTTCAAATCCGTGCTGCTGGAGCAGGAGCTGGAGCAGTGTGTAAATTAATTGCTTGCTAAATAGTTGAACAATCCAAAGTCAATAAACAATAAAAAGCCGAATGGAAACGGGCATAGCTCTGTTGTGACGCTTGTAATCTTTCGACGACTGTTAAATTTTGAGTTTCGAGTTCGAGCAGAGTGTTTACTAAATGCAATTAATTCTCTTTAACAGCTTAACAACCTCTCGTTGAATAAGATACCGAAATAAGGCAAACTTGTCGCTCACTAAACTATAAATTGTTAGCCCCACACAAACCGAACCGAAGCGGCCAACATGCAGACAGTCATTAAGTAAGTATGTCCACCTCCCCGAAATATTTCGATTCCTGCTTTTCCTGAACACCCAATCCCAGGCGGTTTTGCTCGGACAGTTTCACTATCCTATCCACTCGGCATTCAGCCACATTTCTGTGGAAGTTATGTGTAAAAAGAAAGCTGCGCATGATTATTGAAAACACGTTTCGAGGGGCCTTCAGCTGGGTCCCTGGCTTATCATTGGAAATGGGCCCACACAGCAA